ACAGTTCTCAACCCGCACAACTGAACTGTGCAAATGTAATAACTGTTGGTAATTCCTTAAACTAAAAACATATTTTCTTAGAGTTGCCCAACAGCTGTGGATCATGAAAAAGGCTAGTACTGCTTTAAGTTATTGCAGAGAGATGCAATGTTCACAAACTTACATAAACCTTTTTGGCTTTGAATTCAAATTACCATACAGCCTGCAGAGATATTTTTGTTGCAGATGTTTCCTCATAGTTGGCACATAATATAACAGACAACATCATAAATGTAAGCTTTTTATAATATGATTCTTTTTTCACCAACATCTTACTATTGTTTCAATGACTGATATGCCTGTTTATTGGAAGAATTCCATTGCCTAGTGTCACTGAAGTGGGGCAGAGAGGACCTCATATTTTTAACAAGACAAGGCTGAGTGAGCGTAATAGAAGCATGGAGAATAGCTGTCTCAGCTGCTCTGAGTGTTCCTAGCCACCTAGCCTTTCATCGTACTAGTCTGAGGTAGCAGTTCTCATGCCCCTGCCTCCATCTTGCAGATTCCTTGGGTAGGCATAGCTGATCTCTAATCTACAAAATAGTATGTAATGGCAATCTTTTAATGCACTAATTAGCTCAATGATAAAAGCAAGATGCTTCTCCATTATCTGCCTTATCCTTACATCTGGTATTGAAGATGAAAGAATATAAAATGATACGTTAAATTGATGTGGGAAAGGGGAGAGGGAAGTACAAATATGTTTAAATTATTAGACTCCCTCATATACATAAAGAGGTAAAGGTTTCCCTTGCCAGTCTGTGTGTGTGTGTGTATGTGAAAGGGCTGCAGTGGCCAAAAATGCTGGGCTTATTTTATATATATATGTAAAACAGAATAATAGAGTTGGAAGGGTCTTTGGAGATCTTCTAATTCAATCCCCAGCTCGAGCAGGAAACTCTATAATATTTCAGACAAATAGTTGTCCAATCTCTTCTTAAAATACTAATATACATTCTTCTTATATTCATGTTGTTAAAATATTTATATACATTCACTCAGTGTTGGCTGACCCAACATATCTTAATACAGAAATGTTGACATGAATTTTTTACATACATATATACATACATACATACAACTTTCCTTTGTAGGAAAGGTGAAGTTTCTGCTTGCTTTATAACAACTGGTTCTCACTCCATAAAATTAGAGCCAATTGTGATCCTATTTAGAAACAACTTCATTAGATTCATTATCTACAGTATTTTATATTTCACTTATGACTTGTTTAAGGCATGTTATTCTATATATACCATTGAAGATTTAGAAATTCATACTGGACTTTTCCAACCTCATGCCTTCTATTTTTATTGGATTATGCCTCCCATTATTATCAACAGGTTGATGCCAATTTTAGTTCCTAGCACTACCAGTTAAAAAAACATCGGAATTGATTGGTGGAAACATGAGATAAAGCAAGACAAGTAGTTTAGCTTGTACGCAACAACTTTGGAGTCTTAAAATAAAAGTAAATTCCAAAATATCAGCAAAGCCAAATATTAAATTTTAATCAACCTTGGGCCATGGGAACCTTTTGTAATCTATATTTGAAACTAATCATGGCTTTAATGTTCGAAATCCTTTTATCTGACCTCCTTCAACCTTCTGACTACCAGATGTATTAGGACAGCAGGTTCTAGAATTCCCAATCAGCATAGCCAAAGACTGGAATTGGGTTCAGTTCAAGAACATCTGGCATGTACTCTAATGAGGCTGCTTTTCGCTTGGTATTCTGCTCCTTTGGGCAAAAAAAAAGGAATGTTTTTTTTAAGTGTCCATTCATGTTCTCTGTGATTTCAATAGCTAGCTGCAAATTCTGTGAGTTGTTTGGATCAGATAGCTGAAAACAAAGGAAGCCAAACAAAATCCTGAATCCTTCCTGCCTCTGATATCAAAAGGCAGGTGTGTTACATGATAGTAAACGCACTGTATCTGACAGGCAAGGAAAAGAAAATACATAATTGAGGTCACCATGAGACAGAGATAGCCCGTAATTGCCATTTATATGGGCCTTCAGCTGGTAGAGATGTCAGCTAAACGCATGATGCTGCTTTCAGCAGCAGGGCTACGATAAAACCAGGAGATGCAATTGAAAATACCATAAATAAATGGGGCAGACTCTTTTATTTCCCAAGAGAAGACACATGATTAAAGTGTCTGCCTTCTGCTTTAACAATAAAAGCATACACATTTTTTTCCTTTTCTCACATTGATGACAGCTTTGCCTATTTGATGCTATGTGCTAGCAGCTGTGATGTCTGTCTTTTTATTTGTTTGCTACAATACAAGAACCATGGAGATGACTTTAGAGGTGAAAGTTTCCTTGAAGATTCAGTTCAATAACCAGGCAAGATACAAATCTCATAATTAAAGAGCTATCTATGAAGAGAACTGCACTATTAAAAAGTCTCTCGCTCTCATTCCCTTACTGATGGAATTGCTTCCCAGATAAATTGTTCAGCACTGCAGCCTCAGTCTAGCTTTTTACTCTTAAAACTCTTTCCATACCTATTCTTGTTATCACTGCATGATAAAAATGGCACAATTAGCCAAGAAGATAATTTCTCAGTTAAAATGATAATTATAACATTGACGGGAAACCTACATCACATTTTAGTTTACCGCTTTTTAAATAAATCCATCCTTCCTTCAGGAATTATCCCCCCCTCCAGATCCAAAATATATTCTTCCAGTCTGGTTCATTGGGGACCATGAAAATTTCATAGGGATAACCGCTGACAGAAAGGCAAAAAAAAGTGGTAGCTTATAAAAAAAAGAGGCTTTGTGTGGCCTGAATCTGCCATCTTGACTTTTTTGACAACATTCCCTGGACAGACTGCTCTAGGGTTGAATAGCAGAAGTTCCAGCCCAGGAAATCCATATTGGTTAAATATTGCACCATTATTCAGGTAGTGCTCTACTTAGAACTATAATTGAACCCAACATTTCTATTTCTAACAAGACAGTTAAGTGAGTTTTGCCAACCTTTCTTGCAGTTGCTAAGTTACTAATATGGTTGTTAAGTGAATCTGGCTTCCCCATTGACATTGCTTGTCAGAAGTTTGCAAAAGGTGATCATATGACTTTGGGACACTGCAACCACTATAAATATAGGCGTAAGCATTTAAATATTGATCATGTGACCAATGGTGCAGTGGTCATAAGTGTGAAAACCAATCATATCACTTTTCAGTGCTGTTGTAACTTTGAATAGTCACTAACAGTCAAGGACTACTTGTATTAGCTTTCCAATGGCTTAAATCTGGTTCAACTCCAGCTAAGAAAAATTTTTAAGGTGATACTGTATTATTATATCTGATGAATTTGCTTTGTCTTCTTAACCTTCTCGATAAGTATTCCAAGAAAGAGTTTTGTGTGATCATTTTCAGGGCATGCTCTACAACAGGGGTATCAAACTGCCAGCCCACAGGCCGTATACTTCATGGCGAAACCGCACCCACCCCATTGCTGGCAATGAAAAAAAAATCATGATACATCATGACACATCACATGACGTTGCGAGTTTGACACCCCTGCTCTACAATATACATTAAAGCATGCAGAAATGAAAACCAGCCTTTGAATTTGATTATATAGCTGCACAGCCTACACCAGTTATCTCTTCTTCATTAATAGGGAAGTTATGGTAAATAGTGAAAGAGCAGCAGATGTGTCATCATTTTGAAAGTGGGTTCTAAAGTCCTTAGTTCAAATCTTACCACAAATATGAACTTGCTGGACAATGAGAATAAAAAAAATGCTTAGCTGCTGCCTACAAATACATACAAAAAGGCAACATTTGTAGTTCTGTTGAGGAAGCAAAAATTTCTCACTGCCCTTAGTGAAGTGACTCCTATACAGGACTGTGAAACAGTTGCCATGTTTAATCCCCCACAATGTCTTAATTTGCCATAGTGAGACTGTGAAATAGAAGTAATAACAGTGGGTCCTTGGTGCTCTCTTAACTTAGTGATTTTTTTAGAGACATTTTATTATCAAATTAGATAACATCAGTGCTAGTAGATAGTAGGTTTTTGTTGATATACTGTATTTGTCCATCATACTAAAAGTATCTGGTTAGACAAAGGTTGATAAGAACTGTGATTCTAGGTATTTTAATTTTGATGTATTTGGTTAGGTCAGGTATGCTGTGTCATGGATTTTTTGAATAGTTCTGAGTCTATGGATATGGAGAGTGCTATAACATCAAATGTACCACTATTTCACCTTCCATTTCCACATCTTTGATTCTTTGAGGACAGTGGGGTGATGGAATATTTGCTACCCTGTGCGGTGTCCAAAAATTTTTGTCAATTCTTTGGTGATGCTATAGGTTGGAGTCCCTTAAATTATTACCTAAAGTATTCTAGAAGTTTTGTTTTGAAAGGTGGCCTAGTTTTTAAAGCCATTTTTAGTTGTCACAATTTTCAGCATAGATGGCCACCACAAAATTGTACATTGGCTTCTGGTTGGTCTGGGCCAGGGCCAAGGCAGAAGGTGCCGTTCCCTCACTGTTTCCAGGATGGCTTCGCAGGCCACGTTGAAACCACTTCGTGGGCTGCATCCAGCCCCTGGGCCTTGTGTTTGACATGTCTGCCATAAAGGCTCACTTTTTTCTTCTTTCAAACAGTTTTTTTTTAATCACTTTGGAAATGTAGTCTATCTATCTGAAGTATCAATACCTATCCTCCTAGGTATTGCTCTTCAGGAATATTAAATAGAGAATGAATCCTAATTTTTTTTCATGGTATATCACTCTAACACTCTAATTGACCTGCCTTCCTCAGCAACAAACTAACATAGCAACTTCTCTGGACATTCAGAGAGCATTTCTGTCTCTGAAAATAGTTACTACTTGGCAAGTGCTGTTGCTGCTTACTCCTTAGTTAAATCTGAGATCTTCATAAGATGGAGAAATTCAAGGCACTGCAGTGGATAATGACTTTGAGAATTCTTTGCAGGTTTAAAGACCACAACAACTTCTCATCATCAATCAGCACCCAGATGAGCAGAGCTTAATATCAAGATTAGATTAGACCAACAATCAATAAGCAAACATTATCCCAATCAAGGAACTGCCAAACAAGGTAACAGTAAACAACAGCAAAACAGAGCAAGCCACTAGAATATAAAATAAGACCAAACCCCAATCCCTACTAGCACATGATATTACCTAGCTTGGTAATGAAAAGTCTGCAAGAAAACCACCAAGCTAAGTGAGTGCTACCTCACAGTAGCCCACAAACCAGCCTGAACTCTCAGACAGACCCTGTCAAAACCTAAGGAGCAGACAGAAACAAACCAAAGATCAGGCATCATATACCATATCCAGTGCTGCAACTGTGAAAAGAACTATGGGCCAAACAGGAAGAATGCTATCTACCAGACTGCATGAACACTTCTTGGCTATCAAAAGACATAACCCACTATCCCTCATGTCCGTCCACAAAGACTCAGAAGGACACAAGTTTGATCTAACTAGGATCACAGTTGAAAGCCAAGTGAAATTAAGAGGAGAAAGAGAATTACTTGAAGCCTGGTTCTCCACCAATAAGTCAAATAAATAGACACACTGACATCAACCCAATCTACCAATCATTGAAAATGAAATAATTACTTCAACCACAATCCCAAAGATAGCATTTAAAATGAAGAAACAGGCACCCCACCACATAGAAACAAAAATCACCGCCCCCTACAAGAAACCAGACCACATAACAACAGCCAGCCAGCCAAACAACCCAAAATCAGACCATGGCTCAGAGGCAACCAAACTAACACCATTTGCATCATACAGATGATATTTAAACACCAAAGACTATAGCCCAACAACAACAAGCAGCCAAACAAACAGCCCAAAATCAGACTATTACTCAGAAACATGTGGACAAATAACACCACACTAATTTACTTCACCCAAAAAGGTACTTAAAGGCCAGTGCTCTGACAGACAAGCACAATTCAAAGGGCACTGAAGATGTCCTCCCGATTGGAGATGAAAATTTGCAGCTAAATCGCCAAGCCTCCCCACAGGCTTGGCAGGCAGCAGAGCTGGGTGCCTCTAGCAGTGACTGGGTCTTCTGCTGCCTCCTACCCTCCCTCCCCACCCCTTCAGCTCCCTCTGCCTCTCTCTCTCTCTCTCCCTCTCTCTCTCACCTGGAGAAAGAAGGGGAGGGAGAGAAAAGAGAGAGGGAGAGGGGAAAGAGAAAGAGAGAGAGGAAGCGCAAGTGCCTCTCTCTCTCTCTCTCTCTCTCTCTCTCTCTCTCTCTCTCTCTCTCACACACACACACACACACACACACACACACACACACACACAGAGTGGGGGAAGAGGACTGGCAGACCAAGGGCAGAAAGAGGGAGAGAGAGGGAGGGAGAGAGAGAGAGAGAGACGCTTTTGACATCTAAAATAAAGATAACACTGAAGATATATATATAATAAAGATAAAAAAGGATATATGCAGTGTTATCTTCATTTTAGATGTCAAAAGGGTTGGATGGCCTGTAATATACACCTATGGCAATGTCACCTTTTTTTCCTTTTATATTGACCCATATACATTCTGGAGGGATTTTATCTTTGATCACGTTTCTGTAGATATGTAGTGTTCTCTTACACATAGTGCATATAGTGCAACACCCCCTTCTCTTTTTGTAGATCTATTTGTTTTGAACAATTTGTATCCATCTATCAGTACATTCTAGTCATGGGTTTCGTCGCACCAGGTTTCTGTAATGCCAATTATGTCATATCTGCCCCATGTACTACTGCTTCTAGTTCACCCTGTTTGTTCCCCAAGCTTTGAGCATTTGTATATAAGCATTTAAGATCTTTACGCCAGTCCGTGGGTATGTTTCCTGCATCTCCTGATTGTTGTTGGAGTTTTTCTTTTTTCTCATCACTCCAAACCTCATTGTTTGATTTGTTATGGAGACATTTAAACTTCTTTCTGTTTAATATATTTATTCAGCAATCTGTAATGACATTTGAATGTTTTCCAACATATAAGTGACTTTTAAGAAAATGAATTACACTTAATTCACTATTATTTTATTTTTATGTAATTTATTATTTTTATTATATTTTATTATGAATGTAATTTATATTATTTATTACATTTACAGAGAGCAAGGGATATGGCATCACTTATCTCCTGTATACAACAGCCCTTTCAGCAGTCCCAAGAAGTTCCTACACCCATTTGCACTCTGGTTCAAGTGACTCTGAAGATAAGAAAACCCCCCAAATGACCTCAACAACTCTGAGAGGATTAGAGAGCTAATGATCAACTGACCCTCAGAATGCTAAAGACCAGATGACAGCAAAGAATATAAACCCTTGCATTCCTCACCAGTCAGTCAGAACCGAAAAAGTTTCTTGGATGAGAAGCAAAATGTTTTCAAAGACAAAAACCCAACAAAGTCCAGTTGCCCTTTGGAAAAGCACCTTTAAGGCAACCATAACCTGGATGATCAAGAATCTCCATAGACAATAAAAATTACATTTATCTCCTATTAACTTCAGTGAGGCCTTCTCCCATATAAATAGCAAAACTTCTTGTTTATTTTAGTCAAAATATATACATTTGAATTACTTCAAATATTTTAAATAAATATTTCATTTAAGGTGTTAACATATAAATGCCTAAGGATTATTTGCTTACTTTTCACTGTATTTTAAATCCATCAAATCAGAAGACTAGACTCTTAGTCTATTTTGATAAGTTGTTATGTATAAATAGAAAGTGGGTCCCATCATTTCTGCAGAAAGAAGAGAGAGAGAACATGTATTAAATAAATTTTCCAAGTTTATAACCTAGGGGATGATGGTCTGTCAACTTCTGGTGCTATCTGTATTAAAATGTAGGTACATGGCATTATGCTTGATCTTGCAGAGTATGTCCAAGTGTTTGCATTCTTGCACAAATGAAATGCATTAATGGTAGCCTTCTGGCAGAGCAAATGCTTATTCTGTGCCATTCAAAGGGTTTGTGGGTTATCCTTACCCTGCTGCCTTCAACCTTAATTGGACTCCACTTGGGGAGCAATTAAAAATAAATGGAATCTTGCTGAGCTGCTAGAAGGGATGTTCCACAGCTCTGAGCATGAACATTCCTGTTCAGGGCCAGGGGCTGTGCCAGAGATGAGCAGGATGGAAATAAAATCACACTGAAGTGTTGCAAATATACTTGTGGGTAGATGAAGCTACCCATAAATCAGGGGAGCAATTTAAATGGGGGTGAGATAAACTTTAAGAGCAATATATGGAATTATTGTCTAATTAACTGCAACTAGAGCTATAACTAAATATGTGTAACTGAAATAATTGTTTCCTGTCTTCTTTTTCTTCCATTTCAGATTTTTGACCTTAAACTGCTAAAAGCAGGATCTTATCCTAGTTATTTCAGAGAAAGCACTAATATACATGGATAGTGCTGCTTTTTAAAAAAAAAAAATTCTTTTTTCACTATACAACAAAAAAAATGAAAAAAAAAACATTTTTCCTTTAACAGAACTGTGTTATACATCTTATATATATATTATTTACAGTTTATTTACATCAGTAATCATATCTTTTTCTTTCTCTGTTCTAACCAATTATAACATTTGTTCCATATTTCATTGAATTCTGTTGCCTCGTCTTTTAATTCTAGCGTAAGTTTATTCATTTCTGCGCATTCTAGAATTTTGTTTATAATCATATTGTTTGTAGGTATGTTTTTACCCTTCCAACACTGGGCATATATTATGCGGGCTGCTATTAATATATGTATAATGATGTATTGGAGTTGTTTTTCCATCTTTAAATTTATTATACCCCAAAAAAATATTTCCTGTTTGAGTTCAATTTGCACCTTAGTTATCTCCTGTATCCAGTTCCTTATCCGTTCCCAATAGGTCTTTGCTTTAGGGCACAGCCACCACATATGATAAAATGTTCCTTCCTTATTTTTACATTTGCAAAATTCCGAATTCATATTTTTGTACATTTTGGCCAATCTCACTGGTGCTATAGAACATTTTGTATTGATTTTCCTTATATGCAGTTGGATAATTTCAGTTTGCAATTTATGTTCCATAATCTTTCCCATTCTTCCAGTTTTATATTTCGGCCCACATTTCATGCCCATGCTATCATTGGCCCTTTCACTATTTCTTCCTCTAAATCTACCTCTAATAAATATTTATAAGTTTTTGTTAAAAATTTTCCTTCCTTGTTAAAATTTTATCCAATTGATGTGGGGTCTGGCTTATTCCATGCTCTTCCATATCCTTATTATGTTTAGATTGGATCTGTAAATATGGCCACCAGTCTATGGTTATTCCTTGTTCTTATAATTCTTCTCTTAATTTGAGGTTTCCTTGGTTATCTATTAGTTCTTTGTATCTGATCATCTTTTTTTTATCCAGAGTGTTAGGGTGGATCATTGCCTCCATCGGTGAAATCCAATTTGGGATTTTCCTATAGTGTCTTTTTTTAACTTTTCCTCACGTCCAAATCAGTGCATCTCTTATCTGATGTTGATAAAAATATGTGTGTGTTTTCTTATGTTTCCCCCATAGAAAGGCATGCCAACCAGCCTGTAAGTCATGCCCTTCGATCATTAACACCCTTTTATTGTCTAGGGTTATCCAATCCTTGATCCAGAGTAATCCAGCTGCTTGATAGTAAATTTCCCATTTTGAGAGCTCAAGTCCACCTCTACTTCTACTATCTTGTAATATTTTCATGTTTATCCGTGCTTTTTTGCTCGACCAAATAAATTTATTATTTTGTCCAATTCCTAAAAAAAAAAATTCTCTAATTTTATCGGGACTGTTTGAAATAAGTATAATAATCTTGGTAATATATTCATTTTAATCAACGTAATCCTACCTAATAATGATAACTGTAATTTCCCCCAGGTCTCAAAATCTTTTTTCATTTGTAATACCAATTTTTTATAGTTATCCTCTTTTATTGAGGAACACCTTATAGTAAACCAGATTCCTAAATATTTGATCTTTTTTACAATTTGCAATTCCAGATTCTCTTCTAATTTCCTTTTCTGTTTTTCAGTTAGATTTTTGACTAACATTTTGGTCTTTTCTCTGTTAATTTTTAATCCTGCCACTATTCCATATTTTCTATTTCGTTCATCAAAATATTTCCTCTCTCTATTGGTTCCTCAATAAAAAAGACCAAATCATCCACAAATGCCTGTGTCTTATACTCTTCTGTTTTAACCTGTACCCCTTTTATCTCTTTATTTGCTCTAATTTGAGTTAATAGTATTTCTAAAATCAATATAAAAAATAGAGGTGACATTGGGCATCCCTGTCTTACCCCTTTATTTATTTCAAAACTTTTTGTATTATCTCCATTGATTATCACGCTAGTCCTTTGTGTTTTGTATATTGCCTATATCGTGTTCTCGAATTTCCCTCCAAATTTCATGTCCTCAATCTGTTGGAACATAAATTGCCAACTGAGATTATCAAATGCTTTCTGAGCATCTAAAAAAATTAGTGCTACCTGTTTTCCCGGATGTGCTTCATAATATTCTAAGACATTTAACACCGTTCTCGTATTATTTCTAATTTGTCTTGTAGGTAAAAAACCATTTTGATCTGGGTGTATTATATCCTGTAATATTAGTTTCAATCTTTCTACAGTTATGGTTAGTAAAAATTTTATAATCAGTGTTCAACAACGAGATTGGCCTATAATTTTTGATCTGTTTGGGGTCTGTGCCTTCTTTTGAGATAAGGGATATGGTGGTTCTATCCAGGAGTCTGGTAATTTAGCTTTCTCCAACACATCATTATACACCTCCAATAATATCTTTTCAAAGTCCTCGTAAGGAGTCTTGTATACTTCCCCTGGAAGGCTTTTTTGTTTTTGCACCACAGTTTTTAATTCCAAGGCTGTTATTTTCTCATTCAATATTTCTCTCTGTCCTTCTTTTAATTCTGGCAAACCATTAACCTGCTTTTTTTAAAGAAGTATTAGACAGCTATTTAAATAAGAAATATTTTTTCTGCTATTTAAGAACATTAGGGACATGTCGGAAAAATCATCAAGAGTCAAGCTTAATTTGAAGGGGACTTGCCTGTTATACTATGCTTTATTTTTAATCTTCCATTTGTTCTTTTTTTAAAACTAAATAAATTGACATAAATGAAAATAAATTAATTGTATAGTACAATATGAATATACATCTCTAACAGATTGATGAATATTCATATACATTCTTTTCTTTTTGTGAAATATAAAATTATAAAAAATTATAATTGAAATCTTTATACAGTTAGGATTCATACCTTTTTAAAATATTCTTTTTCAAAAGTTAGAGTTAGGTTTAAAGAAGTAGTTTGATATCGACATTTTTCTTAAATTTATGGGGAAAAAAAACCAGAACATTCTTACACGCTTTTTCCATTATTACTGGATTTGATATTTATGAAATGGTTGTTCATAAAGAGTGGACTACTATTTATATGGACTATATTATATGGACTACTAGTCTATATTAATTTTCCAATTTACACATAAATGTTTGTGAGGAATTATCTGGCCATTATGTCATAAAACATTTGTTCAAGTGAAAATTATTTCAGACAACTACGATTCCTAGTTGACATCTCAAAGTGTTTCCCACATCCTTTCCAAAAAGTTTCAATATTATGTAACACTATCAAATCAAGGCTATTAAACTTCAGATGATCATTAATAGCAGCAAATAATTGAGTTTTCTGATTTCTTTGTGGCCATCTACCATCTCTCTGCAGCCTTACAATTGTACCCCAAGGTTAATACCACAGCTAACACAGCATGATAGTTCCATTTTTCCCTTCAAGAGTAGATAAATTAATGCTATCTACCACCCAATCCTGACTTAGCATAACACTATAGCAATATGGAATTTCTATCCCATTAGCATTATTCTGCGTCTGTTGCCTCTCCTCTGACTCACTGCTGCAGGCTTTTCAGATTATAAATATGATTTACAAAAAATATATCCTCACAATGTTGCTTTTATCCCCAACAGACCATGGAGGCAGCTTCTATTAGTTTTCAAGTAATGCAATTCCTTTTCTTAAGATAAGTGCCGCACAAATAATCTGCAATACCTTGTTTATGAAGTAGGAGCTGATGCAAACAGACTCAGATCTGCCCAGTTTCTATTTGCCTCTATCATTTTATTTATTTATCAGATTTAGAGAGCAGCACTCATCTCTCACAGGGTGACTGAGTGGTGTCATTTATTTTTTATTGTCTTTACTTCAGCGGCAAATATATATTTATTTAGTCAAATTTATAGGCTATAAACAAAAATGCTTACTGAAATGCATTTTATATTTTGCTACAAATATAATTATACTGTTACTAATTTTTAAGTGATTTATTAATCTTGAATTGTACTTTTGTAGTTGATCTGTGTTATTGTTGGCTACCTTGAACATTATCATTGTAATGGAAAGGATACAGTAATAAAGAGAAGACTACAGGTAGTCCTCGACTTACGACCATAATTGAGGCCAGAATTTATGTTGCTAAGTGAGAAATTTATTATGTGAGTTTTGTCCCATTTTATGACTTTTCTCATCATATTTATTAAGTGAATCACTGTAGTAGTTAAATTAGTAACACGGTTGTTAAGTGAATCTGGCTTTCCCATTGACTTTGCTTCTCAGAAGGTTGCAATAGATGACCCCTGGACACTGCAGCCATCTTAAGTATGAACCAGTTGTCAAGCATCTGAATGTGAATCATGTGACTACAGGAATGCTGTAATGACCGTAAGTTTGAAAAATGATCATAAGTCACTTTTTCAATGCCATTGTAACTTTGAACGAACTGTTGTAAGTCGATAACTAGCTGTGTATCAATAGTCTTACACCAATAACAAAATATAAATAAACGAAAGCTATATGTGAATATGCAGCCATCAGGTTGCTTTCTGGACTGCCTCAGTATTTTATTAAGGTACATTACTTTCCACAGTTAATTCTCATTTCTTTCAAATTTTGAATAATTACAATGAAATTCATTAACTTTTTTTCTAAATGACACACCTATGCAGCACCAACTAGTGGCTGACATATTAAAGTTCTTCAAAGAAAGCTAACAATGATGGCAAGATTCTGGAAGGATTACAGGATCATTGAACTCCCTGCATTTATGTACAGTTCCTTCCCCTATTCCTATCCCTGGGGCAATAATATGTACTGTATTTAGGAAAGTATCAGGAGACTGCTACTACTCTGCTCATAAACTAGGAGTACAATGCATGTTGGTTGCAGCTATATTATGCTTAGTTAGGGTTCATCATTATAAATACTTGTCTAACTTTTTATCATTTAAAAGCAGTTGCATTATTACTATAAATTAACCACTGAAGGCATTAATAAAAATATATAATTATATACATGCATACATACTGTGGGAAGTCAGCCCGCCCCCAGAGAAAGAAATATTTTTGGAAATATTTAAAAGACAGAATATATTTCCCTAAATGATTTTAAAAGCAGAAACCAACCCCGCCCCCAAGTCTCTCTGTCCCAAACAGAAACCAAGTCTGCAGAATTGCTGATATGATAATCTTGTCAGAAAGACTGGAGTCAGGAAACTGGGGTTAGGAGGAAAGATCCCTGGAATCAACAATCCCTCACACCAAAAATCTAAGAGTCATCAGCCACAGCCCCAGTCACAGAAACAGCTCCAAACAAAAGGCTCAAGAAGGTATAAAAACCCACTCCCTACATGTGCTCTCTCTCTCTCTTTTCTTCCAGAGCCATTTGTCTGGCTCTCCTCTTCAATAAACTGCAACCTTCTTTCTAAAGCAATCACAATGTTGTTTATTCCCGGCTTGGACTGAACCATGATGAAGACTGTTCCTTCAACAATATACACAGAAGCACAAAGAAAATCTGCTGCTTTATCAGCTCAGATAACCATGCTTTATTATGGAGTTGCAGAATATAATTTTAACAGCTATATTGTGTGCTATTTGTCTAATTTTAATAAGGTATGGGGCTGCTTTACAGCACAGAGATGGGATAAACAGTAAGCCACTTTAATTATGCATATATGGACAAAAGGGATAGTTCTCCTCTCCCTTTCTCACAACACCAGTGAAAGGAATAAAGTATTATTCAGAAATTTCTAATGAAGGTCGATAGAAGAAGCCACTTGAAAGTCATAAAATCAGACAAGTAAATTACAGACAAATAAGAAAAGCAGAAGTTGCTAGTTAACTAAAATTGCAAGCAGAGGAAATATCGAAATAAGTATAGGAGCCGAGCTACGCTAACAGAAAATTAGATGGCGAAAGATAGGATATGAACAAAGGGGCTTCCTGGAACATAGGAATGGATAGTGATTTTAGGCGGTCCAAACTCCTGTGTGTGTTTCAGTCCACCAAGTCTTTGCAAATGCTTTATTTTGAATAAAACTTTATTATTGGAATTCCAAGTGAGTTTGTTTTGGTATCGAGCCACGTTCCAAACAACTTGGGGGCTCCTCCAGGATATCCAAACGGTCCCTGGTTCCCTGGGAGTGGCCACCCCAAGGGGACAGGCGTCACATTGATTTTGACGGCCTCCTGAAAGGGGACCACCCCCGGCCCGGTACCCATGGAGAACCGGACATTAAATAGTGGATTCCAGGAACAAAACAGGTCAGGTCATATTTTTGGGGGGATGCCCCCAGGGTCCTAAGGACTGGCAAGACATACACGAGCTGTGGATGTCCCGAGGGTCCTGGAAGACTGTCAAGACATACATGTACTAGCTGTGACTGTCCCAAGGGTCTGAAGGACTGGCAAGGCAAGGAGGTGGGTCAAGTACCAATTGCTGGGAAATTCTGTGCACAGACCCAGGAGTAGCAGCTTTCTAACTTTTTCGATCTGAGTGGTGGCCTATGTTATTCCATCCAAGAATTCCAGAAGAAGCTGTGGACCTCCGCATCCTACAAACCTCGACATAATGTGTTGGTTCTGTGATTGCAATTGTATCACTAAATGTTGTTGTTCTTATCACTGTTATGATTGTGAACCAATCTGTCCCTGTAAAGAACCTTGTGACATAGGAATAGTGGAGGATTGGTTAAAAATATGTAAAGATCTGACATCAACAGATTCTTTAGCCCACATACCCAATTATAGGATAAATTGAAATTTAGACAGCAGAAACACAACCTGACCTAAATTCAGTTATATTGGGAGATTGTGATATTCAAATTCCATGGGATATAGAATAGATTGTGTCTGAGGGATAATGATGAGGAAGACCAACAGGAAAGTCAGACACTGGAAAATCACAGAGAGATAGAACAAGAACTATCAGAGTGGATGTAAATCCCTTTATAACTGAGTTCACTATAGCTTAGGCTTGCTTATCAACATATAAGTATAAACTGTAACCCATATTTGCAAAGTGTATTTTTGAATTGTCTATAAATTTCTGAAAAGATAAAAGAGAGGGTGGCCTGAAAGAATAAAGGATTATTCAGAAATTTCTAATGAAGGTCGATAAAAGCCACCTGAAAGTCATAAAATCAGACAAGTAAACTATAGACAAATAAGAAAAGCAGAAGTTGTTAGCTAACTGAAATTGCAAGCAGAGGAAATATCGAAATAATTATAGGAGCCGAGCTATGCTAACAGAAAATTAGATGGTGAAAGATAGAATATGAACAAAGGGCTTCCTGGAACATAGGAAGGGATAGTGGTTTTAGGCAGTCTGGGTAGTTTATTGCAGTGGTTCTCAACCTTTTTAATGTCGCGACCCCCAACCGATCATAAGTCGAGGACTAAACCGGTCGTAAGTCGAGGACTAAACCGGTCGTAAGTCGAGGACTAAACCAGTCGTAAGTCGAGGACTACCCAAGCGGTCATAAGTCGGGGACTTTCCCTGCCCAGAAGCGCCGCACATGCGTGGTGCCGCCCCCTGCACCGGCCGAGGCGTAACTGGCAAGCGGCAGAGACGGAGCAGGCTGACCACCGGCTGGGCCACCAGCTGGCCCAGCCCAAGGGAGGTAAGGCACCCGCCAGAAAAGGGGAAAAAATGGCAGACAGCCTTGCTTAGCGACCCCCGTGAAATGGTCGATTGACCCCAAATGGAGTTGCGACCATAGGTTGAGAACTGCTGGTTTATCGGATGATTAGGGAAGGGGTGTTGAGTGAGATAGGGGAGGGGAAATCTGTGTCGGAAGTAGGATATAAAAATGTGTCAAACAGCTCTTTAAGGTGTGGCTGAACTCCTATGTATGTTTCAGTCCACCAAGCCTTTGCAAACGCTTTATTTTGAATAAAACTTTGTTGGTGGAATTCCAAGTGAGTTTGTTTGTTTTGGGATATTGAGCCGTTCCAAAAACCAGGAATATTCAAGAGTTTTCAGTGATACATACAGGCATTTGATACATCAGAGACAAAGGCCACCATCCAGATCCAGGGCAATGAACTGAATAAATTATAGTTCAGTTATATTTGAGTTATATGCCATCTTTTATCCAGGAGCTCAATGTAGCATTTTTATAAAAACATTTATATGTCCCCCCCCCCCCCAAACTCATAACACTGAGTCTAGGTGGCAACAGAGTGTGCAGTTCTGCATATTTTCCCTGTGAGATCCATGGGATTGAGAATGACTGGTCATAATCATTCAGAAAACTCCTACAGCAATAAAATTGTACAGTGAATGTATGATTAACATCCAATCTGAGAATTAGTGATGTGTTTATATTCATCCAGAATCGAGTCATTGAGGAGTAGCACTTTAAATCTAACAAGGAACATGGGTGACTATCTGAGTGATTTTGTATTCTAGCCTCCAGCTGCGAACTACAGCTCCCTTGATCATTGCAGTGGGCCATTACTTTGGAAATTGTTGGTACTCCAGACCAGCATGGAGTATTGTACTACATATGCTGGTAAAGCTGAGGTCTTACTCGCAAGCGAGGAATAAAAACCAAGATTACCAAAGTTGGGTTTTTGAAACTAAATCTGGGTTTTTAGATTCCTGCCTGGATTTCTAAGTTATTTGTTTTTAAATCTAATGTTTTTATATATTACTTTATATTGTAAATATTAAATAAAATAATTTAATTTAAAATGGATTCATTGTGTAGAATTGGGTTTATGTGAGCGCGAAATCGGTTTACTAATGAAACCCCTCTAACAATTCTACTAAAGACACGCATACCTCTTCTCGCCCCACTAAACCAACTCCGCTTCCAAGAGACCAGGGATGTCCCAGTCCTTTAAAAAGAAACGGGCAGGAAAAGGAAGGAAAGGGCTTATTGCCAGAACCGGCCCCGCCCCCTCCTTTTCTCTTCATAGGTTCTGCTGTACGCCAGGACCAGGCCAGCGCGGACACGAGGAAAGAAGCTGAACGGCCCGAAATCCTCGGGCGCCATTTTAAGCGCAAATCTCTCCTTCTGTTCATGACTCTGTCACGCAGCCAAAATACCCTTTGTTAACATAGCGGGAAAAGGAGGCGAATTCACTCTCTTGAATGCAACAGTAGGCAAATCAAGGTAATAACATTCAACGGATTCCCCCAGCCCTCCAACACTCCCCCCCCCAGACGGGCATTCTAACTCTTCCACAGGCGCCCAAATTTTTGAATGAGGGAAAACCCATTAATTTTCTGGTCCCCTTACTCTTTCCCTCCTGAAGCGCCTGCGTGCAACCCCCAAGCCGCATCTCGCCGCTTATTTACTCGTCGCGACAAGTGGGGTCCGCCTTTTTCCAAGAGCAAACGCACGAAGGCAGGCGTGGAGGCGGCGGGCGGCAGCGGCAGCAGATTTGGGTGGGCCTGGAGCGAGAGGGAAGTTTATTTAAGGCAACCTGGCCTGCTTTTAAATGCGGTAATTGAGTTTGGGGTGGAAGGAAATTTATGTTCTCTGTGATTGGGAATCTTCCCAATACAGCTTTTTGCATTGTTCGCTTTACAGTAATTCGAATAATGTTCCTTCGGATTTATTGCCGGCGCGGTGCGCAAAAGTTGCAAAGTGAAGAATCTGCGTAGACGGTAGAGAAGTGGTGTCTCCGCTTTCTTCTGGAGAAGAGTCTACGCAAACTCGGCTACTTTTCAGCATCTGGACAGACGTCCTCACAGTTGCATTAAAGCCTTCAGTTTCAAAAATTAAGAGGATAGAAGCAGGCTGTGTTGTTTGAAGACAATCTTTATCTCTCTTTCTCCTAATCCCCCCCCCTTTCAGTTATAGCATCCCAAAGAAGAAACTTTAGATTAATGTATAGTGTCTTTACTTGAATGACTTTCATAATACTGTCTTTAAATAATTCTTTTACAAAAACGAACTCAAACAATTAGGGTTCAGCTTGTTTGGAAACAAAACCAGTAGGAATTTTTGTATTGTAATTATGTTGACCAAGGAAGAATTTATGTCTATAGTTCTGGTGAGACATTGAATGTGAGTTTCTAGGAAGCTCACAGTTGGCTTTCTGAAAAGCTCATTTGTTTCTACAGTTTTACCAGCACATTTTGCCTATTCTATTGCCTAAAACTAATTCAGAAATATTAGAAAATTAATCAGCAGTGCATTTAATTTTGTTTGTTACTAGAAGTTGGAATGGAAACCCAAACTGGACCGACATCATCTGTTATAGATAATTCTGAAAAAAATGAGAGTGGGGCCACTGATCAATCCTTCTCTTTGCTGATTCCAGTAAAATCTCATAACTTAAGTAAGCAATACATTCCTACTTCTGAAGCAGTCATAAAAGATAAGGATCAGCAGAATCAGAATTTTGTCTTTGAGGAAAGGGAGAAGAAAAGTTGCCATGATACAGACACTATGCCGGTCAGCTATAACTACATTCTAGACATTAAATTGAAAGATGAGGCTTTGATAAAAGGAAGAGTTTCAAAGAAGAAAGTATCAAGTGTGAGGAAAAGGGAGCATGATGTTGCTTTGCAAAATACACTGCAGTCAGAGGATAAGAAAAGGTGTAGGAGTTCTTCATCGGAAGTGGGATTTCAAGGAGATATCATAGAAAAAAGATATACTAATCCTTTACTAGAACATGAACAAAAAATCCAGAGTTTCATAAAAAACACAAAGGATTTAAAGAAATGCCAGCATCCCTTGATAATGAGAGAATTACATAAGCAGATGAAAACTATAACTGAAAAGGATGGGACTTCAGTAATAATTGATTTAAGCTCTGAAAAAGAATCAAGAAATTTGCAGAAAAACCATAGTCACTTAGCCTCAGAATCAAGAGTTCAGCATAAAACATGGAATTTTAGGAAGAGGATTAAACCAGTTTGGCCAGAACAAAAGCAGAACAAAAGTCAAAGAGTAAAGAGAAATCTAACTGAGAAGCATGGTACTTCAGCAATGATAGATTTAGGGCCTGAAAAAGGACCAGGGAACCCGCAGAACACTCATAATTGCACAGTCTCACAGTTGAGACTTCAGCAGAAAACATGGAATTTTAGGGAGAGCATTAAACCAGTACAAAAGCAGGACAAAAGTCAGAAAGTAAAGAGAAGTATACGTAAGTTAGAATGTATCATACAGAACATAAGTGTATTAAAATACAGAGAAAGGAATTTCCCCAAATCACAGGTATATGTAAAGTACCCAATTAGTGTGATGTCAGCTGCTGTGTCACATTTTTCAAATAACTCTATAGAAGGAATAGAGAGTCTAATGAAAAATATCAGGGTAAATTTTGTAAAACAAAAAGAACTGACTGTCTCAAAATTGCAGGAACGTATAAAAGCTTCAGATGAAAATAGGCAAGATTTATTGCATTCTATAGCAGACTTTGAGGAAAATAAATGCAGAAGTAATATAGAAGAAGAAACAACTAGGATGGTAACACAAATATTTTCAAAATCAAAAATGTATACAAGTGATGGTAAAAAGCAAAGTTGGGAGTCAGAAAGAAGTGTTATAGAGATCCTGAAATATAGCCAGTGGATTTCAGAGAAGAAAATAACTAAAGAACAAATGGATTGTGTACCTAAAGAGGAACTGTTGGTTACCAAAACAGAGGGAACTATTAAGGAAGAGATATATGAAAAGAATGAAATTGTGTCTTCAACTGATCTTAAAAAAGAAATCAAAACATTTAGTAAGGATGCTTAGTCCCTTTTCATCTGAATATTTGTTTTATGATTTTAGAGTTGAATTTCTGTTTTTCCCATCTATTACTGCCTGCTTGAATCTAAATTTAAAACTTTAAAATGACTTTTTAAAATTGGGATAGTATAATTAGTAAAAAAAATTAATCTAGGTGTCTTTGCAATTGTAGTTCAAACATTTTACAATTTTAAACTTTCTCCAAAAGATGTTGGCCAAAGCTCCATGCTTGAAATCAAGCATTTAAAACTGAGTCTCCTTCAGGTTGAGCTGATTCCTGATAATTTAATGCTGTTTCTTAAAATTTGGGAGTGATTTTTTGTTTGGGATGGATATTTCAAAACATTTCTCAATTTATCCAACAGTTTTAGTATTTCATGATGATCTCTCATCCAACTACTACAGTAATTAGGTGTGACCATGTTTATTTTTTTCAAAATCAAGTAAGGGCTTTTGTCTAGCTGGACACTAATCCTTTATACAGAATGAAAAATCACATCTGGGCACGCCTGTACTTGCAGGTTGTATAAAGCTGCTTGTTTTATATTTTGGCTGGAAAGTATAAACACTTCTGAAAGCTAAAGTGGTAAAATGGCTTAATATGCATTGTTTTCAGATTTTTAAATATTTGGAGAGGGATTTTAGGAGCTATCATCAGTTCCACTTTAATAAACCTGATTTGAGTGAAAAGATTACCATTGAAAGGAATATAGAATGAAATTTCAATAGCTTTTATTAATTCTCTTAAATGTATCACTTTTTTCTATTTTACACTAAACTAATGCTACATTAGAATTAAAATTCCCTTGTATAGCATTTCATTGTCAAAATGCCCTGCCATTTTATACATGCTTGCATAATTATTTATTTTAGCCTTTAAATTATTTTATTAAATAAATATATGTAATAATAACCATATTACTATACAGATAATCTTTGACTTAACTATCTGTTGCTTCCTATTATGACAGACTTCCCTAGAGATATTTATGACTCATTTTTGTAGTTACAGCAGCCACAGGTTATTCTCCTCGTGGTCATTTGATCGTACTTTGGATGCTTGGCAACCAGGTCATCTTTACAGTTAATTGCAGTATTATTTTTTTGTTATTTTCCAGCAAAAAATACCCATGGGAAAAGTAGATACTTTTAAAAACTGTTGCATTCACTTAATTAGTCATTTCTTCAAATCTAGACATGTAATGTCTTGATTTACAATTATAATTCCAGACTCAATTACAGTTATAAGTCAAGAACTACCTGTACTAATTAAAATGGGTCCTAGAATAAATTCTAATGGTGTTTTATATAATATGTATTTATAAATGTATATTTTTATATCAATATAGTATTTGAGAATGCATTAAATATATTAATGATTATTTGTTTTTTTAATCAGGAGAGGATACCCTTGACATTTTAAGTAGACAATATGGAAGGCTGCCACATACAATTCTGAATACTTTAAAGGACTGCAATATAGAGACAACATTAGAACAGTCTGCATGTCTACTAATAACTGAGGCAATTGAGATCAAGAACAACAATTCTGTTAGACTTTGCTTTTGGAAGCAGACTAACAAATATTGTAATGCTATTTTTTCTATCACTAATATTACATGTCCAGAAAATTTTGACATAAGAATACTTGAAAAGAAAATTGAAAAAAGCGCATTGGTGAAGTATCAGAATGAAAGATTTGAATGGCTTCCTATGTATAATATTCCGCCCTGCAAAAAGAGTCTAGTAGTAAAATCATTTGATTGTTATTACATTAAGACGTTGTTACAACCTACAGATATTGAATCTCAAAGCCATAAAATTAATTGTGGATCTCTGCATAGTGCATTTGATCAAGGAAAATCCCTATCTTCTAAGGGTATGGGACAAAATGAACTTGGTAGTATCTCTAATGTAATCACACAAAAAGACATTTTAGTTTCAAGAGAAATGTTCCAACATACTAAAAGTCAAAATGGAAAGCGAATCAAGGAAAATAAATTGTCCATGGATTTTAAAAAGCCAAGCAAAAAACTAAAAATGCTAGAAGACCTAGAAGAATCGGCAGTCGTGAAAGTTCTCATAAATGAGGATATTTCCACTGAACATGGAATACCAATAGAAGATAATACTATTGCCATAGATTCTGCAGTAATTTCAGAAAAACTAGATTATAGTGAAACAAGTATCTTATCTTTACTTGATTACATACCTGATTTAAGTCTGGAGCTGCCTTCTCAAAATCAAGTTGCCACTATGTCTAACAATAAAACAGCAGACCAAGAGCACTTCATTACATATGGTTACAGTATTTTTGACAATTCAGTAGTTCTTGAAACTGACAAGAATAAATTAAAAGAAATAGAGGCATTTGTTGACTTCAGTAAAATGGATAAAAAGAAATCCATAGCGGAGACAACGGATAGTAAAAAAAGTATGATCTGTAATAGTAATGCTGCTCCTTATATGAAAAGAAAAAGGACATGTAATATAAAAATAAATAAAACTGATCGGAAATCACAACTGTATAGCTGTCAAAGAGCAATCCCAATTAGTGGTAAAAATATATGGCCTCGTGAATCATGCGCAAGAACATCCTTGTGGGTTCGTAAAAATTATACATTAGATTCACAAAGAGGATATTTAGAAGGTACTGATTCAGTAACAAAATGCAGCAAATTGGAAGTCCATAAACCATTGGTAGATAGTAAAATATCTATAAATACAATGGAATGTGTTGAAAGTCCACTTTCAGACGCGATATTGCATATAGAAAAGACACTTTCACCTATTACTGAGAATAGATTTTCTTCTAATGGTATGGAAAGATCTAAACAAAGTACACTTGATACTGAAATTATAAAATCAAAAGTGATTTTGAATTCATTAGGGAAAGAAGCCAAAGAAAAAAATATAAATATTCATAATGACTCGTTTGCAGGCATTAGGAAAAAGAGGACAGATAATCGAAAAGCATCACTTATCAAACAAGAACCAGTGTTGAAAAATGTGACATCAGGAAATTTGTCAAACTTCAAAATTCCTTTACTTAAGGATAAAGGTAATTTTAAAAAACTAGAAACTGAAACATCATCTGAAAAATATACTTGCAATTCTTCAAAAGTTTTAGAGAATGCTCTTTCTTTAAAAGAAGCTAGAATTAAACAGACTTCATCTGACAAAAATTCTAGTTCACAATTTCAATCTGAACAGGAGAATTATATGTCTGCATTGGAAAAATACATAACTCAATTTAACAGTGATATTTCTGAAAACTTTTCTAAAAAGAGAAGAATTTGTAATACTTTGGGGAGTACATCACATGAGAATAAACTAGAATCACCAACTTTGAATGCTATTCCTTTCTCTTTGAGAACTGGAAATATAGAGGAGCAAATGCTAAATTCTGCTTTGGCCTCAGAAACTATTAAAGTTAACGTCAACAATAAGTTGGCACAGGACAAAGATGACATTTGTGCAGATATTCTTAAGGCTTATGAAGATGATATTCTTATAATTGATGTTATTCAAGATGATCCTGATCTGTTTGGAGATAATGAAGAAGAAGATGACTATGCAAAGATTCATAATACTAAAAACATTTATACCAGTGTTTTTTCAGAAAAAAATCTAGAATGGAAATTGAAATCATCTCAACTTCCAAAAAGCAAGCATTTGAAATGTGTTAGGTAGGCTTGTTGCTTTAAATTTTGGTGTAATGGATATATATATTTATGGCTTTTCTTAACGTAAAGTTCAAAGATCTTTAAGAAGACAAAATCTTAGAACTATAGAATATGAAGTGATCTAGTACAGTGTTGTGATAATTGAGAATTTGGGAGTTGGGGAATAATCAAGAGTACTCACTCCTATATTAAAATTGTTCACAGTGAAATTTGAAGCATGTCAATGGTATTGTAAGCAAAAATGTTTTGTAATATTAGGATTTTATATGATTGTTTTGTTTTAAATATGCAATAGCACCTGCCTATAGTAAAGAATCTAGCTGTTTAAGTTCAAACTTATTTGGGTTCAGATTCACTTTATTATACATTACAGATAGGAGTAGAAGATAGATTATGTTCTCAAATGTTAAAGTTTAAATATAAATTATTTTGCATTACTTTTTCCACTTAAACTAATAGATAAACCTGCATACTTAAATGGTATGTCAAGTAGTGCAATAACATCCATTTTAGATGGAAACAATCAATGAACTATCAATATGGTTTCCGTATTTCAGGTTTGACCATTGTGAGATAAGGTTATGCGGTAAAAAGCTAATTTTAGAGAGGAACACAATGTTTGTCTTTGGAACAATTCTCCAAAACTATTGTGCGTGTCCAATTTTTTCTTGAAATACTAAAATAGTTAATGAAAAATAAGCATAACAAAAGAGCCAACTTAGAAACATTAACTTTTGTCTTTAAAATAATAAAATATGGCATGCATGCATCACTAAGATGTTACTTGTATGACCTGTTATAGAATATTCTCCTTCCCACAAGATCCACTTTCATCTCCAAATTATTTCCCTCAGATTCTTAAAAGGCTGCTCTCATTTATTTGTTTTTAATGTTACTTCACCTTTTAGATCTTAATTCTTTATTTAATTGGTATTTTCTGAACAAATTAGTTGAAAACATAAGAGTAATTTATCTCTCTGTTATTCAGTAATTGTATCTTATCTGTCATGTTATTCCTGAACCAAGTTGCATGTATCTGTTATAATGATGATATTGCTATATGGTGTAACTACTACATATAGCCAATTTGATGTAGTGCAGGGCTGTCCAAACTGTAGCTTGTGGGCTACATCTGGTCCTCCAGAAGGTTCTTTGCAGCCAGCCAAATCCTCCTATGTGATGTGCTCCAATCCTTTCCAAACAGCGCAGGGAGAGAAAACGGTTATATTCACTATCGTTTGGAAAGGAAAGTAGGATTCCCTTGATTTCTCCAGTGGGTAGGGGGAAGGGTGCAAGCCAGCTGGAGAGTTGCTGGATAATGAAGGGGAAGCATAAGTTATGAGTCAAATAGAGTGTGTTATGCTGTGCTGTTTTATTGGGATGATAATGGTTTATATATACAATTTCTCTTAAATTTTATAAAATCTTTCATTTAAAGAGACAGCTTCATTCAAGATTATGAAACACTGAAATTGGATGAAAATACTGATGATTTGGTGCTTCAAGGTAAAAAGTTTAAAATGTAGAAATGGAGAAAAAAGTTTACATAATTTTTGACAGTATAGTTAATTTGCATAATTGTGTAATAAATTGATGCATGTGATGTACAATATATATGTATAATGCACATATCTAGCATTGGTCCAGACAGATTTTAGAAATAATAGATTACCCGTTATTTTATAGGGGATATCCAAACAGAAATATGGTCATTATAATAGTCCTTGACTTGTGACTGTTTAATGATTATTCAAAGTTATGACAACCTCAGAAAAAAATTTATTTATTACTTGCTCTCTTTTTTGCTTCTATTTTTATTTTATTCAAAAAAAGTTAAAAAACAAAACTCCAAATTTTTTTTAAAAACAAATGAACACAAAACACAAAACAAGACATTAAAAAAATAAAATACTAACTAATGTAAATATATTATCCCTCCAGTTGAATACTGATTAATACTACAATATTAATTTCCCATCCCTTGCAAAAAAGTCCCCAAAATTTTTAAACTACTAAATCTATTTGCAAATTATTAACCTGTCATTTATATAATATATTAATGACAAAATAGTTAACAAGAAGAACAACAACAATAATAAAAAAGACAAGATTAAAGTTTCTAAACCATCTATTAACACACTCTTATTGTAATCGTAGAAATTGTACCGCAGCATTTTATCTATCCCAAATCATTCCAAGACTTAACAGTAATTCATCCTGGATCAAATATCCACATTTGTTTCTTAATACCATCTCTTATCAATTGTTGTCTGGTTAAACATAATAAATTGAATGTCCAAAGTCAGTCTATCTTCACAAAAAAAGTCCAGATTAAATTGTTTTCCTATTAAGAGTAATAAATTCATTCCCTAATGTCCTTCAGCCCTTCTAGAAAAATCAGTTTATCACTTCTCTACTCGATCAGGTTGCTTCTGTTATAAAAGAATATGGGTTTAATCTTCAGGGGATCAATTCAGTTCTAAGTCTGTACAATCCATATTTCTTTCCAACGGATCTGCTGTTTTCAAATCACATTCCTTTTCGGGATCTAATTTATCCGGAGCTACAAATACCTGAATATTTTCTACAGCTATTATCAGTTTATCAAACTTTTGAAAAAAATCTTTCCACTAAGGATTGCCTGTTTCCAAATGATCTTTTTTCAGATACCAGCCATATCCTGTACTTGCAATTATGAAGGTCATACCTCTCCCACAGATGTGTGATCATAATTTGGGCAATTGGCAATTGGCTTGCATTTACATCTGATTGCAGTAACTTGCAGTCATGTAATAATGATTTGCAACCTTTCTTCCGCTTTCCGCCCAAAAAATCCTTTGGGGAAGCTGGATTTGCTTAACAACCTTGTGATTCACTTAATGACTGATGATTTGCTATTTGACCATGGTAAAAATAGTTGTAAAATCGGGTTCAGTTGTGTGATTGTTTATGTCTGCAACAAATTAAGACCAAAATTCCAGTCCCAGTTGTCATAAGTTGAGGACTAACTGTACATCCAATTTGTTAATTCGGTTTTTCACTGTATTCTAAACTGATATTGCACATGGTCTGGTCAACAATATACATTTTATGGTCCTCTGTTTAGTTTTGTCTTAAATTCTGCTTTAATTTTAGTTATCATCCCAGAAATCGCAAAAAATTGTGAAATTTTGTAGTTTTGTATAAAATTCACTACTGGAAATAGAACATTTTAGTGTTCTTTAGAACTTTGGGATTTTTTTCTGGAATGTGTTTCTTTGGAATTTTCTGAAAGTAAATCTAGAATAGATCTGACTTTGGAATTATGAGTTCTTCAGATACCTAAAATTTAGTACTCATGCTTTTAAGTATAAAGCATATGCTTTAAGTATAAAGTATATGCTTTATACTTAATATAAATATTTAATATTTATATTAAGTATAAAGCATATAAGATCTGAAAAGATTCAAGGGTAATGGAATAATGAGATAGACACTGCCTACCAGAGCTGTTGTTTATGTTGTCAAATGCATTTTACTCAAGTAGTCCTTAAATAAGAACTGTTAGGAATCTCATATCTTATCCTGAAGTCAATGTCAACTGAGAACTAATAATATTCAGCAATATGGGAGGTAGTTAATCATATTCAGTTATATTGTTCTTTTTCTATGTTCTAGATTTGAGTTTTATTTCTAAAACAGGTTCAGACTCAAAGTTGTTGTCACAAACCAATCCATAATAAATTGCATCCAATGTTTACTGCCTTTTCAGTCCCTTAATTTAGTGAATAATAAACAAAAAATATATTGTAGGAAATAGACTATTTGCCACCTGAAATTAGGGTTCCACAACACTTCTGTGTTGTTTCAGAGAGATTAAGAGCAAAAAAAACCCCCAAAAACCTGTATGTTTTGATCAGGAGTTCTGAGATTTTTTTTTAACTAAGTTTCCAACAGTTTGACAAAGTTAAGAAAACTGTTTTAGAGAAATGTTAATTCTATTTTTGTATAAAAATGTATGGCCCAATTAATATGCAAGCCAAACATACATTTTATGTATAATGCTATAATGCTCCCCTTGTCTGTGGTTTGCTTTGTATTTGTATAAAGTATTGCATTGTAGATTAGCAGCATTCTCCTCCTATTGGATTTATTGCTAGATACTGTGGTAGAGTTAGGTTTCTCAATCTGTAAACCAGATTGATCATAAGTCTTATGATCAGAAGACATAACCAGATATAATTAATGAGTGATTCTGTATAGCTTAATTAAAAATATAAGATCACTGTATGCCTTGTTTTTTTAGAGAACTAAGAATTCTGTAGTTTATTTGTAATTCTTGAAAATTTATAGTATCTGGATTAATACCTGAATTGTTTTGAAACATCAAATCATAGCAATTCCTAGAACATTAAGTTACATTCCAGTTAATGTTATTGTTTGGCCAACCATTTCCCCTTCTTTAATATGTCTATACTTTATATGCACATGTGAAATTTAAAAATTCATTAGCCTGGATTTTTAAAATGTATAAATCTTTATTTTAAGAATTTGGACATATTATTAATCTCTATTGGAGTATTTAGGACTTAGTAGCAAATGAGTTCAATAGTGGCATATTCTCATGATAATTATAACTTCATGTTTTGAATGGTATAAATGGGCACCATTGATCAAATGATTAATGTCACATTATCTGGTACCACAAGTTCCTTTCCATAGAAATGTCATTTTAAATGTAGAGTTACTACTTTAGGAATATTAGAAAATATCCCTTTTTTCAGTGAAGCATTCCATTTCTAATGTTGCTATAGTTCAGAAGTACACACAATATTCTTTTTCCCAATTAATGAAATTAAGTTAGAGGCTCTAAATGGAATCAATTCTATAGGAGGAATATCAGAATCATCTCCTGAAGATGGACAACTGTCAGAACCGAATAAACTTACCAAAGTTTTTGATACAGATGAAAAGGTATAAAAGTACATTGATTTCATTGCAGAAAAATAATGAATATGTAATGAATACTGCATTGGGGGAAGTTTGTCTTTTACAAGTAATATGTTGCACTTTTTTACATATTTATGTATGTATGTGTAATGTAAAAGTTGCTATCTTAGCATATTAGTTTGGGAGAAAGTTATCTAAAAGAAATGGTGTTTACTTGGAATTGACATGTATATGTTTCACTGTTAGATACTGAAGATTAGATTGCTAAATATAAACATTTTTCCAGAGATAGTTCACAATCTTCTGTATGGAATCTATTAAATAAATTTATTTTGACATATGAAGCATAGCAAAAGAATGAGGAGAAACATATATAATTTTATTGTAACATGGCTTCATTAATAAGATGGGTTGCATAATGAAGTTTTTGAATTACCTTCAGAAAGCTATCGGGGATATGCATATTACATTGTAAAAATGTCCACTAGAGAATTATAGTACAAGAATATAATCAAAAAGAATAATACCTCTTCTTCTTTTTAAGAATATGAATTGCTTTTAAAACAAAAATAAATTCTAAATTTTATATAACTTTATTTGATGTTCGTTTTACAGTATGAATTTTCGGAGAAATTGCTTGCTATGCAAGAACAGAAAACAAATGTTCAAGACTTTGCAGAAATGTATGTATTCACATAGTAATATTCAAATAGTCTTAATTATGTGAAGGAAAAAAAACAATTTCTCAGATTTATTTTGCTCTAATTTTAAAATTAGATGTCAGTTCCAAATATAAATAACTATTCAGAAACTCTAAAAAAAACCCTATTTGAGAAGTGCATTCCGAGATTGAGAGCCACCAATAAAAGCAGTTTGGCCTCTTATGTTCTTTACTGTTGTGGATCGAGGGTACAGCCAGAAAAAGACTTCTGAAACTCTACCATAAGAACTATTAATTTTTACATATGAAAAGCTTTATGTCAAGGTTCCGACTAATGAAACCGAATAAAGTAGAACTCTGAGGCTTGAGAATTCCTCAAAGAACATATTTATTATATACATAATATTTGCCCAATCAAAAGTGAAACCAACTCTAAACTTTCCCCCAGAGATTCAAAGTAATTAAATGTAACAATTCCCTCCCTTCTATTATGCTACTGATCACATTATCCCATAAGTGCATTTGGCGGTCTTCTTGATAGTACTTCTCTTCACTTCAGGGTCCGGTGAGAATGATCTTGGTTCCCACAGGATCGTTCTGTGTTTAGTAAAATTAAAAACAACCTGATCCTCCCCCTTCTCTTTTTGCGGCAATTGAGAACGAACAACAAAGATGGCATCAGCTAGGTTCATTGCAGAAGTTGACAGTTGTACCCCTCTCCTAAAGAAAAAGAAGTTCCTGGAAAACAAGTTTAGAAATACATTAGGGATCTTCCCATCAGTTATGTACTGGAGGCTCTTTGGGCTTCTGGGGGTGCTTATCATGAAACTTTATTTGTCTTTACTTCACTGCTTTTAACCCATGTAGCCTCTGACAAGGGATACCCCTTCCACCGCACTAGATACTGTAACTTCGCTTTATGCAGTCTAGAATCAAGGATGCATTTTATTTCATAGTGGGTCTCCCCTTCTACTAGAATTGGACCTGGCGCTTTGCAAGGAATTGGTCCCAAGATTGAATCTCACCAGCTTTAGTAAACTACAATGGAATACCGGATGAATCTTTCCCAAAAGTTGAGGAAGTTTAAGATCAACTGTGGCAGGATTTATGATTCTTACTATGGGGAAAAGGCCAATAAATTTTGGTCCCAGCTTTAATCTTAGATATTTAGTCAAGAGATAAACTTTCTCTTCAACATGAAATAGTTTTTGAGGAGATTGCTGCTTGTCGGGTTGCTCCTTGTGGATTTTAGCAGCTTGGTTTAAAACCTGCTTGACATTTGCCCAAGTGCTCTGTAACAATGTCATCCATTCAGTCAAAGTCTGTGAGGAGGGGGGCTCTTAAGGATATTCAGGCATGGCAACAAATTCCCTGCCCGTAGCTATGTTTAGTCTAATAAAAGCAAAAGCAACCTGATCCCCCCTTCTCTTCATGTCACAACTGAGAACAAATGACAAAGATGGCATCAGCTAGGTTCGTTGCAGAAGTTGAGACTTTTACTTAGAAACTTGGATGTAGATATTTTGGATTTCCTTTAATTTATTGCAGTCATTATATATAATACTTCTTAGAAATGGGTTATAAATTATATTAATACATTTCAGTTGATCATTTTCAATGTTATCTATATAGCTGTTATTTAAAATTGGATTAATATTGAAGGCAATATCATGTCCAAAGCATTGCAATTAATAAATATGGAAAAGCCAAACAGTGGATAACTGTATAGCTATCACTTTACTTTGACTGCACTTAGCTTGTCAACTTCAGCTGCTTAATATTAGTTCATATCATAGATGCTGCTCGAGAAATTAAGATACAAAGCTACCAGTAAAACCACTTTGGAAATATAAGAATAAAGAAGGCTGTAAGATTGAATGATTGATGCAATTTATAGATTGCCAGCAGTGTGCTGCAGCTGCCAAAAAAGCCAGCACAGTGCTAGTCTGCATTAACAGAGGGATAGAATCAAGATCACGTAAAGTGTTAATACCACTTTACAATGCCCTGGTAAAGACACACTTGGAATACTGCATCCATTTTTGGTCACCACGATGTAAAAAAGATGTTGATACTTTGGAAAGAGTACAGTACTTTTTTGGGACTTCCGCTGGTTCCAGCGACGACGAATGGCGGCGTTTTACAAAGCCGCCCGTTCCTGGTGCGTGTAAAAGCCGTAGGACTTTGACAATTAGCTGTCCTGCGGCTTGAATCTCCTCCCTGGAAAAAAGGGAGGAGGAGAGCTCTCAGGTAGAAGTAAGAGCTCCCCTGGATCCCTGTTATTTTGGGGATCGGAGGGTAGAGCTCCCTCGGAGCCTGAGCAACTCCGCGTTCCAGGGAGACTTCATTCCGAAGCTTTTGGGATGGAGCAAGTTGCCGCTTCCACATCTGCTTTTTTTTTTCAGTTGCTTGTGAGTATTTGAAAGCAGACGGAGCAGACCAGGAGAGACTGTGCTCAAGTTTGATGGTGCCTTTAACTTCAGCAAGTTTCCTCTTCCTCTTCTTTTGTTCACTTTCCCTTTAGAAGAAAGGGAAAGTGAAAAGTAAAATGGCGATCGTCTTTCTTGCCTGATTTGCATTACAAAGTAAAACCTGGATACAGATTAACTCTTTAAATACAGAAGTAAGAATTTGGCTTTTATTCTTTCCTCCTTTTTCTTCTCTATTTTTTTTTCTAAGAATACTTAAAAGAACTGTGCCCTTTTTTTTTCTTTTTCTCTTTTTTTTTCAATAAGAATCTTTCTTCTTGGAACTTAAGAAAATGGCTTCAAAACGTCTGCCTCCCGCCCCTAAGGTTCCTATTTCTTCTCCAATGCCTCAGCCTGCATCTCAGAAACCAAAATCACCTCCACCTTCTCCTCCTCCTGCAATTTCTCTTAATGATTTACAAGATGCTTTAAAACAGCATGCCTTGGATATTAAGGAGGAGGTAAAAGATCTTATAATTGCAGAGAGGGCTAATACAGAAGAATTATTGGAGAAAAAGAACAAACAAGTAAGAGATCATATCCTTCTGGCCTTTCAGGGCTTAGCCCTGCACATAGAGAGGATTGATGACCAGATGGAAAAGATTACTGAAAATGCATCAAGGATGGAATTTAGAATGCAGGAGGTAGAGAACAAGATAGAAATTACACAGGATGAACAAATTATTTCACAATATACGGAGATGGAACATGCATTGCGTATCAGGGGCCTGAGGGAGAACCCTCAGGAAGACTTAAAGATGCTTATTGTGAAAGATATTGCTCCTAATATTGGCTGGCGGCCTGAAATAATTGAGAATGAGATAGAAAAATTTTTTAGAGTTAATTCACGGGTTGCTAGACAGAGAAATCTACCAAGAGATGTGGTTATTTATTTTTCTAGAAGATCTATCCGTAATGAAATTATACAGGCTTTTTACAAACAAAAGTTTCAAATTGCTGATCAAGACGTGATAATTTTAAAAGAGATACCTCCAAAAATTTTAAGAGCCAGAAAAGATTTTACTTTCTTGTCTGATGAGCTGAAACATCGTCAAATTCAGTTCAGATGGGAGATTCCAAGAGGAATAATAGTAAATTATGAAGGGATACGTCACAGATTAACTACTGTTTCCAAAGCAAGAGATTTTTATCAGTCTATCTTAAAAGCAAGATTGTCACCACCTCCACAAATAAGGATGACGGAAGAGTCTCTTATGGCAGGAGCCTCATCAATGATGGTTATGGAACAAGCTGCACAGAATTCTGACATAAAAGAGCAAAGGATGACACGAGCTGCCCATAAACGTAAAGAAAAAGAGCAGTTGCAGAAGAGTGGTGAAAGTTTGGTTGTTACAGAGCCTGTGGGAGGGGCAAGACCAAAAAGATCTTCGATAGCAGATCTGCAGGCCATGCTCCAGAGGCTCCAGGCCGGTGGAGATGGTCAGGTTCCTGACCTGGAATGTTAATGGCTTAAACGTGCCACAGAAACGAAGAAAGATTTTCCATTATTTGAAACAACATAATAATGATTTGATATGTTTGCAGGAGACTCATATAACTTTAAACGATTCTAAATTCTTGATGAATTCCCGTCTGGGCACACATTTTACTGCTCCAGCCCCTGGGAAAAAAGGGGGAGTGGTAATTTATGTGAAGAAAACTTTTTCAGCTAAACTAATTGAAGGAAGATATCTTTTTGTGGAATTATTATTACAAGGCCAAAAGGTTCTTATTGTTGGACTATATGCTCCCAATCAACAACAGAAACAATTTTACAAGTTGCTGCATGGCAAGATATCTCAGTTGGATTATAAATCGGTAATTTTGATGGGTGACTGGAATGGGGTTTTAGACCCAACTATAGACAAAAGAAGTTCCTCTAAAACTTTTATTCAAACTAAACTACCTATGACTTTTTTTGATTTGAAGGAAGAATTGGAGCTTATTGATATTTGGCGAGAAAGGAACACAAGTGATAGAGACTTTACTTTTTATTCTGATAGACACCAGTCATTTTCAAGGATTGATTTTTTTTGATTACTAGTGACTTCCTCCCTAGAGTGAGGAAGGTGAAAATTTTTCCCAGAACATTGTCAGATCATAGTCCTGTGTGGATGGAGTTATATTCGGAAGACAGGAATAGAAGATCCTGGAGACTGAATGAGAACTTATTTAATCGGGAGGAGTTCGTACAAAAGTGTAAAGAACATTTAAAGGACTTTTTTACTATAAATATGAATAAGGGAACATCGATGTCTATGGTGTGGGACGCTAGTAAAGCATATATGAGGGGAATTCTGATTCAATTGAATAAAGTTTTTAGGGAAAAAGGGTCACAAAGACGTAGAGAAATAGAAGAAGAGATCAAATCAAAAGAACAAGAGTTGGTTCTTAACCCTACTGATAATAATTTAAAGGTATCTATAAAGATGCTTAAGGAACAATTTAACATGTTGATGGCAGATCAGGTGGCTACCAATCTGTCGTATATGAGACATAATACTTTTTGCAATGCGAATAAGCCTGGGAGGTGGTTGGCTTATCAGTTACGAAAGAAACAGAAAGCTAGAATTATAGAGAAAGTAAAATATAAAGGTACTGAGGTTTTTCAGCAAGATTTGATTAAAAAAAGCTTTTTGGACTTTTACACAAAATTATATTCAAGTGATAATATAAGGGGTTTGGATATAGATAAATATTTACAATCAGTACATTTTCCTAGACTTTCAGAGGAACAACAAAATGGGATGAATAGTTTAATTACTGTGGAGGAAATTGGTTTAGCTATTAAGCAGTTAAAGGTTGGAAAGTCTCCTGGAACAGATGGACTGACTTCTAGGTATTATAAGATCTTATCTGAAGAAATGATAGAGCCATTAAAGGAACTCTTTAATAGTATTTTGTTGGGTATGCAAGTTCCTCCTTCTTGGAAAAGAGCCTTTATATCACTGATTCCGAAGGAAGATCAGGATCTTACAGAGCCTAAGAATTATAGGCCAATTTCATTATTGAATGTTGATTATAAGATCTTTACAAAAATTTTGGCAAATAGATTAATGCAGGTTATGAAAGACTTGATTCATAGTGATCAAGCAGGATTTATAACAGGGAGATATATGAAACATAATGTTAGACAAATTATTAACTTAATTGAGTACTTGGATAAGAATAATCAGATTCCTGTGGCTTTTATCTTTTTGGACGCTGAAAAAGCTTTTGATCAATTGGACTGGCAATTTTTATTTTCTTTGGTAGAGAAAATGAATTTTGGGGATAATTTTTTACATGCACTTAAAGCTATATATCAGCAGCAATCTGCACAAATTGTTGTAAATGGGGGATTGACTGAGAATTTTAATATTCAAAAAGGGACAAGACAAGGATGTCCATTATCCCCATTGTTATTTGTTTTAACATTGGAAATTTTATTGACTCAGATTCGGGAATCGAAGTTAATTAAGGGTGTAAAGATAAGGAAGAATGAGTATAAATTGCGGGCATTTGCGGATGATTTGGTTTTAATTTTGGAACAACCGAACCAGGCGATTGATGGTTTATTAGAACTTATAACACAGTATGGGAATGTTTCTGGTTTTAAAGTTAATAATTATAAGACTAAGATATTATCTAAGAATATGTCAGTTAAAGAAAGGGAAAGTTTGATTAAAGCCACAGGTTTTCAGATGGTAAAAAAGGTTAAATACTTGGGAGTATATCTAACTGCTTCAAATGGAAAATTGTATAAGAACAATTACGAACCACTATGGGCAAAAGTCCAAAAGGATTTAAGAGATTGGAAAAAATTGCAATTGTCATTGTTGGGGAGAATTTCAGCTGTAAAAATGAATGTTCTACCAAAGTTTCTTTTTTTGTTTCAGATGATACCTATTCTTAAAAAAGAGGCAAATTTGGAGGAATGGCAAAAGGGTATCAATAATTTTATATGGGCCGGGAAGAAACCAAGGGTTAAATTTAAGATATTACAGGATGCTCGAGAAAGAGGGGGACTTAAGGCACCTAATTTGAAATTATATTATGATGCAGCCGCCCTAACTTGGTTAAGTGATTGGCTTAATTTAACAAATATGGATATTCTTTTTTTGGAAGGTTGGGATTTAATATATGGTTGGCATGCATATTTAATTTTTAATAAGAAAGTTGATCGGACTTTTAAATCACATATTTTGAGGAATGCCTTACTTCGTGTTTGGAAGAAGTATTATTATAGATTAAATTATAAAATACCTATCTGGGGGATTCCCAGACATGCAATTGAGGGAACTTCTAAGGGGACAAATTTTGATAAAATCTCGTACAAAGAATTGTTAATTTGTTCTGGTTCGAATTGGCATTTGAAATCCCTAGATGTATTAAGGCAGCAAAATATTCTACAGTCATGGTTTCAATATTTACAAATAATGGATAGATGGACTGTAGACAAGAAAGAGGGAATAACACTAGAAGATAGACAATTGGTTATTCAGATTAAAAACCAAGGTCCGGCTCATATAAAAAGAATATACAATGTTTTATTAGAGTTAGATTCGGAAACAGAATTGGTTAAAGACTGTATGATTAAATGGGCTCAGAATATACAGGAGCCGATCTCATTGGATTTATGGGAGACAATTTGGATAAGAAATGTTAAATTTACACAAGCTCAAAATCTGAGAGAAAATTTTTATAAAATGTTTTATAGATGGCACTTAGATCCTAAAAAATTATCTTGTATGTATTCCAACATACAGCCCAAATGTTGGAGATGTGGCAATAATGATGCGACATACTTTCATATTTGGTGGAACTGTAAAAAAGTAAAGGCTTTTTGGATTATGATTTGGTGGAACATTCAAAAGATTTTTAGAAAAAAGATAAAGTTTACTCCTCAACTATTTTTACTTGGTATTTTTGTTGACTTAAATGAAAAAGAAACTACTTTGATGTTGAATTTATTAACTGCAGCAAGGTTACTAGTAGATTTATATTGGAAGAAAGATTCCTTGCCTACTTTAGAAGAATGGATATTTAAAGTATCTAGTTTTGCAGAAATGGCAAAAATTTCTGCTTATTTAAAGGATCATACACAAGAAAGATATATTACTGTATGGGGAAGGTGGATAGATTATATTCAGAAAAAGTATGGAATTAAAAAGTTTCATTTATTTTATGAATGAATATTAAATATTATAGAGAATTGTTTTATAGGTTATGGAGTTAAAGGTTAATTATGATATTTTTTTCTCTTTTTTCTTCTTTTTTCTTAATTATTATAATTTAAATTTTTTTTTAACCCTGTATTCTGCTCTGGAAAGTGAAGGGAGGGGGGTTGGGGGTGGGAGGGAGGGTAAGGGGGGGGTTTCTCTATTTTAAAATTTTTATTGTATTTTTATAAATGATTGTATGTTTTAAAAAATAAAAAATTTTCAATTAAAAAAAGAGTAGCATTTTTGCTTTTTTGGAAGGAAGGGGATACAGATTTACAAATAATAGTGCAAATTTAGTAATGTAGTGATTTATTTTCTGCATAAATAATCATGTTAATATCTATTTCCTCATCTGGAATTTAGTGAGAATACCCTAACTGTTGAACCTCTGATCTGTGATCATCAATTGGAATTTCCAGTTCCTAACGTGAAGGTCATTGTTCCTCAACAGCAAGACCCAGCACTAAAATCAAGGATGAATGGTATAAATTGATAATGGTTAAGTATTATATTATTTCTCTGTTTCGTTACTTGTCCCTCTATCCATAAAGATCCTATTCCAGTTCAAGGAGGTTATTGAACATTTTTGAATTGTTCTATAAAGAATCTAGTAAGATAATATAATTATTTGATATGTTTATGAATTAGAATTTTTAGGACTATTTGGAGAGGACAGAAAAGAAGAGGTATCCATTGTAACATAGAATTGGTGTATACTACAATGCTTGTCATAATGTCTGTATAATAGAAGTGTATACAAATAACTATACACTGTAATTTCAATTATAAAAACGGTGGCAGTTTAAAGCAAACAGAACCTACTTACCATAAAATAGTAACACTGGAATGATAACTTATATTTTTTATTGTTGGTTTTATACTTGGTTTTCTATCATAGTGCTTGAAAAGAGTTAAAGTTTTGTAAATATAGAAATGAGAATTTGAGACAAATATTTTTAAAGAAAGTAATTTAAGTATTATTTAATATATTTTTATATAAGCAGTATTCTTATCTTCAACATTAGATTTCAGATTCCCAAGGAAATGTCCTCCTTTGCCCTTATCAATTACTAATAGTTACAAAACATGGAAAGGAGAAAAACATCCAGCGGTAAGTTTTATAACTACATGTTTTTATAACTAAGCTTAAACTAAGTCGTGTTTATAAGTTTATATATATTCAGTTTGTCAATATCTCTAAAACAAACAAATAATTTATATTTATGCAATAATTTATTACCACAACTTCTGAAAAGTTTGCCTAGAAAGATCTCAGACTGATTTCCACTCCAAATGTAAAATACGTGATTTCCTTAATGGCCAAGAAGGATGTTTTTTTCCTCATAAGATACTTGGAAAGACAGGAGCATAGGGTCACAAGGGATTCAGAGTGGTTTAAGATGTTTCTAGTGTCTAAACTTGCTGGGAAAAATAGCATTTAATACATTTACTAGGTACAGGTGGCAGTTGTTATTACCATGGTTCATTGCGCAGTCAGCTAGATGTTCAGATTGGATTTGAATTTTTTTGTCCTCGTGTCAGGTCCTTCCCAAGGACCTGGGATAGGCAGATGTGGGTATTTGATGGTGTTACAGATATCATTGTAGGATATAAGCTGTTCCAAGTAAAGCTGCTTTTTGCAATTGTTTTGGGATTGCACCCAAGGTACCTCTTATTATTGGCACTACCTTTGCTTTCTTTTGCCACTGTCATTCTGTTCTATTTGGAGGTCTTTGTATTTTGTTAACTTGTTCAGTTCTTTCTCTACAATTCTATTTTCCAAGTGCTGTCACATCCATTATCCAAACTTTTTTGTTGTTCTTATCAATAATTATTAAGTCTGGGGTGTTAGGGAGGAGGTGCATTTCTGTTTGAATTCTAAAGTTCAGAAGCACTTAATCTTCGTTTTCTATGGCTTTCTCTATTTTCTGGTCCCACCAGATCTTGCTTGCAAACAAATGGATTTCTTAAAAATCTTCAAATGCACCATTGTTGCTATTTGTAATGCCATTGTTTGTAGTCGGTCTGTGTGACCTTTTTCCAATAGCTAATCTGGTGATCCATTGTTTCTTTAGCTTCTTTTCAGAGGCAACATTTGCTACCTGTTGCTATCTTTTCAGTCCTAGCTTTGTATACACATTTGTTTTCTAGCTTGGTCTTGTCCAGCCAGAATTAGATCCTCTGTCTCTTTTTTCAGTTCTCCTGCATTTAGCCATTGCTAGGTTTTGTTATCTATTTTGCTATTTTTTTTTAATATACTGGCCATGTAATGCTTTCTCTTCCCATGCCTCTTTTCTCTTCCTTGTTTGGTCTTTCTTGTGGGCCAGTTTGGTCTCTCCAGTACTCGATAGGCCTTCCTGATCTTATAGCTTCAGTGCATTTTCCTCTCTATCCTTTAGATATTCTTCCAGTGCTCTTTTTTCTTCTTCAACTGTCTAATGTACTTGCAATATTCCATGCCCACCTATTTTCCTTGGTAAGTAGAATCTGTCAGTATTATTGTGTAGATCAGTGGTTCTCAACCTTTTTAATGCCGCGACCCCCAACCGGTTGTAAGTCGAGGACTACCCAACAGGTCGTAAGTCAAGGACTACCCAACCAGTCGTAAGTCAAGGACTTTCCCTGCCCGGGAGCGCCGCGCATGCGTGGTGCCACCCCATGTGCCGGCCGAGGCGTAGCTGGCAAGTGACAGAGACAGCGCAGGCCGACCACCGGCTGGGCCACCAGCTGGCCCAGCCCAAGGGAGGTAAGGCACCCGCCGGGCCCCACACGCACCAGCAACACTCCCTGTGCCCACCCTGCAAATGATGCTGCAGACAACTTGCAGCACTGTTTGCAGAATGGGACTTTTGGCGGGCTCAGCAAGGCAGAGACAGCCTGGACAATTCCTATTGGCTTTTGAAAGCCAATAGAATTAGACTCTATTCAAGAGAGTCTATTCTATTGGCTTTCAAAAGCCAATAGAATAAAAGGGAGTAGCACAGCTAAGGAAAAGGGGGGAAAAATGGCGGACTGCGTTGTTTGCGAACCCCGTGAAATGGTCATTCGACCCCAACTGGGGTCCCGACTCACAGGTTGAGAACCACTGGTGTAGATGAAGGGGATGATTCATTTTCATTATTTTCTAGTCTTCTATCTATGGCTTTTAGTTTTGCTTGAGTCCAGTCCACTATTCCAGTTGTGTATCTAATGAATGGAACTGCCCAGATATTAATACCCTTATGGTATTTCTCCCACTGAGTTTGGACTTCTTTACTTTCTTGATATATTTATTTATAACTTTTTTCTTGACTTCAGTGTGCTTGATGTTAGCTTGAAGGATGCCCACATATTTATAGTGATAGTCTTCATCCAGACTCTTAATATTATTTCCATAGGGCATCTTGATTCTTTCAGATTTCAATATTTTCCCTGTTTGCTGATCAACATGGCACATTTGTCTAGTCCAAACTCCGTTACAGTATCTTGACTGTATATACCAGGGGTAGGCAACCCAAAACACTCAAAGAGCCACTTGGACCCGTTTCCCACCAAAAAACAAAACACTGGGAGCCGCAAAACCCTTTTGATATCTAAAAGGAAGATAACACTGCATATATCCTTTTTTACTGTGTGTGTGTGTGTGTGTGTGTGTGTATGTGTATGTATGTGTGTGTATATGTATGTGTGTATATATATATATATATATATATATATATATATATATATATATATATATATATATATATAGGTCTTTGGTTGTTCGGGTTTTCTCCTGCGTAAAATTGGAAGTGTTTTGGCGACGTTTCGACGAAGTCCCATTCGTCATCTTCAGGCTGGTGTTTTCAGCTTCGTGCTTTGAGCAGCAATGTGTGGTCTTAGCTGTTTCTTCCTTTTAACTGCCAGTGGGGGTATGAACTGATTGGGTGGGAGCTGGGCTGTGTTCTGATTGGGTGGAGGTGTGTTCTGATTGGTTAGGGGCGTGGCTGTGCTCTGATTGGCTGGGGGGTTGGCTGTGCTCTGATTGGCTGTGGGGTTGGTTGTGCTCTGATTGGCTGGGGGAGTGTTATGTTTGGTTGTGCTCAGGTTAGTCTGAGTTGCAGAGGGGTTTAAGATTTTGGCTGCCTTGCTATTTTTTGGCTTCGCGTTTGTGGAAAACCCGAACAACCAAAGACCTACATACAAACACCCGCGAAAACCTCAGAAAACATATATATATATATATATATATATTATATATATTATATATATATATATATATATATATATATATATATCACACACACACACACACACACACACACACATATACATATACACATATATATACTGTTTTCTGAGGTTTTTGCGGGTATTTGTATGTAGGTCTTTGGTTGTTCGGGTTTTCTCCCGCGTAAAATTGGAAGTGTCTTGGCGACGTTTCGACGAAGTCCCATTCATCATCTTCAGGCTGGTGTTTTCAGCTTCGTGCTTCGAGGAGCAATGAGCAACATTGCTCATTGCTCCTCGAAGCATGAAGCTGAAAACAATATTTGTTGCTCCTTCGAGGAGCAACATTGCTCCTCGAAGCACAAAGCTGAAAACACCAGCCTGAAGATGACGAATGGGACTTCGTCGAAACGTCGCCAAGACACTTCCAATTTTACGCGGGAGAAAACCCAAACAACCAAAGACCTACACACATATATATATATTCAAAAGGTGGAGGTGGAGCAGGACAGCTCTCCTCGCGGCAACTTTGGTGCCTGCGTTCCGGATGGTCCGCTTGCTGCACCTGGCCTGGATGACTGTTTGAAGATCGGACCTCTGGGGTGGATGATGACTACAATCGCCCCATTAAGGGTCCCATCACGCGTTCCCGAGTAGCACGGTGGATGCGTGAGGGCGCACGCGCGAAGACCACAGTTGGAATTTTCCCTGAGGGGAGAATTGAATCGGATGCCAAGCTGACAGGAATGAAGATCGTAATGAACTGCTGTGCATCCCATGCACGGAAGGGCGGTGGGTTGGGGCTATAGGGGAAGATGGGAGCACGGATGGGGTAGTATGCCCCCGGAGAGTGATACGTCGGACACGGGGGAGGGAGACAGTCGGATCTGGGATTTCATCGCAGGATCGGTCTGCAGTTACTCTGGTGCGAAGTAACATGGAATGCTTGCCTCCTAGCTTAGGAGCCACGCGCAACAGAGAAGTAATCAGTTGCAGGAACTTAGAACTCAGAAATACATCTGACATGAGTGATGGGAGGATTAATCGACCGGGCCCCATAACGAGGTCTATGAGCCATGTGCAGGCGCGTTTGTGCTTATAAACGAGCTCCCCCACCCTCTGGCTTTTAACACCCTGACGATGATGGCAGCAATACAGCCATCGAAAGCTAGGTTATCTATTTATTAAACATTTAATTGTTTTATCTCCTGGTGCTCGTCTTTATCTTTTGAATATGTATACACCCAGGAGACTATGTTCCTCAATTTTTAGGTTAATTTTTAATATATGTATGTATGTATGTATGTATGTACGTACGTACGTACATATTGAGTGCTATTTGATATATGTATATATATGTATGCGTGTATATATGTATGTAGGTCTTCGGTTGTTCGGGTTTTCTCCCATGTAAAATTGGAAGTGTCTTGGCGACGTTTCGACGAAGTCCCATTCGTCATCTTCAGGCTGGTGTTTTCAGCTTCGTGCTTTGAGCAACAACCAAAGACTTACATACAAATACCCGCGAAAACCTCAGAAAACATATATATGTATGTATGTGTATGTGATGTGTATATGTATATACACATGATTAGAAATAAAAACAAAAATGCGACTCTTGGGAGTCCGTGCTCCCATCTTCCCCTATAGCCCCAACCCACCGCCCTTCCGTGCATGGGATGCACAGCAGTTCGTTACGATCTTCATTCCTGTCAGCTTGGCATCCGATTCAATTCTCCCCTCAGAGGAAATTCCAATTGTGGTCTTCGCGCGTGCGCCCTCACGCATCCACCGTGCTACTCGGGACCGCGTGATGGGACCCTTAATGGGGCGATTGTAGTCATCATCCACCCCAGAGGTCCGATCTTCAAACAGTCATCCAGGCCAGGTGCAGCAAGCGGACCATCCGGAACGCAGGCACCA